AGCCTCCCCCTGCGGACCCGCCACGCCGGATCCACAACCCTTACTGCCTTTCGGAATAGGAATCGGAATTCTCACCCATTTCAGAGATGGGCAAGCTGAGGCTCAGTCGGGTTAAGAACATGCCTGGGTCATACAGCTGGTGAAGGGGCAAAGCCAGGATCTGGATCCAGTGTCCCCTCCACACCGGGGTGTTTTGGGGAACAGACGGTGTTAACTGTGGGTTGGTAAAGATGGTCTCTTTCTCTGCGTCAAGGGCAAGGATCCCGTCATGTCTCTTTCTGGCAGCTTCTCTGAAGTACCAGGCCCAGGGCCTGGCCTTTGGGGACACTCCGGCCACATGGCTAACTGGAGAACACTGTGCTTGGGCTTCCCGTCCCCTATGGAAGCTTCATGCAACCCAACCCCAGCGCTCTCATCTGGGGGCCACCCGGGTGGCTTCAGGTTTGGGCTGGGCAGGATCAGTCCTTCTCAGGATGAGGGTCCCTAGCACGTTGTCCACAAAACTCCGTCACGGGTGGGTCATCAAATACTGACGTGTGTGTTAGGCGAGTTCAGCTAAGCAGGGTTTGGGAGAAAGATTTGCCAGTGAATCCCGGATTACAGTAGACAAATGGGGTCAACAAGCAGGACAAAGGCAGGATTTTCCCTGGTTATGCTGCTGGAGACTCCCACGCTCGGGAGCACGGGGCTGGATTTCAGTGAGCACAGTTGAGTGATTCAATATGACGGCCCCAGGTGTCCCCCAGCCCAGACTCCCGGCTGACGATGCCCAGGTGGGCCGGACGGTCCAGGTCAGTCCGTCACCCGAGAGCATCACTTGATGTGACTCCCGGAAGACCTGAGTGCTCAAGGTGTGCCTCTGGATTTGTAAGCAGGAACATCTATCGGAGCTGGAGATGACAGAAAAGGAGATAAAGCCATTCCCTGGAAATCAAAATTGTCCACCGGCCTCAGCTTCGTCTTGGACAAACCCCTGGGGTAGGAACCCGTCTCCAGCTTTGGAACAGAAGGGCTGTGCCTTCCAGTGCGTCGAGCTCTCTCGTCGCCCCAGTTGGTCTCAGCTGACCCAGAGGAAGGTGTTCAAGGGACCCATTACAAGGTCCCCTAACGGGACTCAAACAGCTTCCACGTTTTCACCAGAAGTGGCGATGGCCTGAAGTAACCCTGTTTGGGTCCCCGGCCCGGGAGGGGAGCACTTCAGGGGGGTCCTGTATTTGATTACAGAGGGTGCTGTGGGGAGATGCCCTGACCTAGCCTTGCCACGTTTGGCAAATAAAAATGCAAGATTGGAATTTCGGGTAAATGACAAATGACTTTTTAGTGTAAATGTGTCCCAAACATTGATTGCATTTTATCTGGCCTCTCTGCCCCGACCCCCATTAACCCTTATAGCCGAGTGAATCCGGCTTGGGTTTAAGAAGGAAAAGAATGGCTGCTTTCCCGCTTCTTTTGAACGAGGCTGGCTCCTCAAGGGAAGAGCAGGCTTGGTTGGGGGACGGGAGGAGGGAGGAGATGAAGAGATGCAAACTCGCAGATCTCACGCGGGTCCCCAAAACACGGTTGTGGTGTTAAAATTTTAAGGTGCAAAAATGGAAGACGACGCGAAAACCCCACACACCAGGGCCGTCGAAAGTCTGGAGTACGGAGAGCAGAACCCCACTAGACCGGGAGTTGGGTGGCGGGGCTCTGGGTGCCGTCCTCGTGAGCAGCCGTGTGACCCTGCGGAGTGATCTGCCCTCTGGGAACCTGCCCGGCCTCAGCTGTGCGGTGTCAACCCCACTGGGGCCCGAGCATCTCACTAGTGTGCTTCTGAGAACCGGAAGGGAACGGCAGAGGCTCAACCCGAGAAACTGAGCAGGGGCGCTGGAAACTGCCCCCACCCTTGGCCCCCCCACCCCGGCTCCTCCCTGAGATCTGCACCACCCTGGAGGAGGAGGAGGTTGGTGCGGCCAGCAGGGAGCTGACTGGGCCAGTGACTGGTCTTGGGATCCATCTTTTCTTTCCCTTAAGCCCCCCGATGCCTCTTGTGTGTCAGGCTAACTCTGTTTGAGGTTTTATTTGATGATGGCTCTTGGGATGTTCGTTGGAGCCAGATCTAAGGAGTGAGGCGCTCAGGGCGGCTAATACTGTCCCTGGTCAAACACAGGTCATGACAGCAAAGGAACAAGGCTGGCTTTCCTACATCATATAGCTCCTAAATGACACGGATAGTTGGGTCTAAAAAAAAATTTTTAGAGGGTCGCAGGATCCTGGGAGCGATGGCAGAGGGGCGCAGACCCCGGGACGCCAAGGAAGCTCAGCCCGGGTCATCCTCCGACCCTGGCTCTACGGCTCCCCTGCCAGGGCACGGAGGGTGAGAGGACCCCGCCGGCTGGGTGTCTGCGGGGCACTTGTCCCCTGCCCGGCCCGACCTGCCCCACACGGGCTGGCTGACGGGGCGAATGTGAAGGCGGCGGGAATCGTCCTCCGGCAGCTTCGGGCCCCCCGGGTCCCCGTGCTGCCTTCAGCCGAAGGGGGAGACGAGAGGGCCACCAGCCCCGGGAGAGCCCGCGGCGTAGGTCGCCCGGCCCTGAGCCTGCTCCCGGCCGTCCCTCTCGCCCCCTCCCCGGTCCTGGCCCTGTCGGGCTTGCCCCGGCCTTGGCTGGCTGCAGGCCTGGCTCCAACATCCATCATTCCACTTCCTCGCCACCTCGCCCCCTTCCCTCTGCCAAAACCTCATGTGTGCCGCGCTCTTCGCCGTTCCCATAGCCGCTCCTGAGCGGAGAGGAGACAGGACGTGCCTCAGCAGCTACCCTGACGTGAGTCATGTCTGAAGTCCCGCCAGCGAAGAAGGAGGAAGGAGGGTTGGGCCTTGGGGCGCGTGAAAGGAAGGCATTTTCATGGACTGTCAGAAGACAGGCGCGGGGAGGGGTGGGAGAGCCTGGGAGCATCCGGAGCTGCCGAGATTACTGAGGACGGAGTTGATGAACCAGAAGAAATGCCCAACGTGGGCCAGGTGGAGATTTTTTTTTTTCTTTTTAAAGGAAAGACCTCTGAAAGAGGCGCTTTGCAGTTCTTGGCTGCCAGTTTCCAGGGCAATGACCCCGCGCTGCCCCTCTGATAACACTCCCTGTTAATGTAACATCGACCTGTGGGTGAAGTCCACACACACAGATCCTCATTCCCACTATTCCCACTTCCCAGACGCGAAACCGATCCCCAGAGAAGGTAAGAGGTTTATCCGAAGTCTCAGAGCCACGGAGTCATAGAGCCCGAAAGGACCTGACTAAGCTTTCCCGGCTCTGATCTGTAGCAGAATAGACGTAAAGACGAGTAACAGCCACACAGGCGGCAGGATTGCTCATTCCGCCTGCTGGTCCAGTCCAGTGATCCGCCTTCCCGGGGTCTCACAGAAGCCTTTATACTGCGTTACTAAGCCGCTTTCTCTAAGTCAGATTCTCTCTGGTCATCACGCGTGATGTCAAAGCACTTTATCCGCGTCTGAGCCACATATGGGCTCAGTCAACTGTCTATCAGTTGCACTGAGGGTATCAGTTGCCATAAAAAAAAAAATTAGAAAAATGGGAGGGGAATAGATTTGCAGGAGGAATGTTAATTCTTCCCTTCGGTCCCTACCCTGTAACATGCAAGAAAGGCAAATATTCCCAAATTAGCCCCAAGAAGAGCTTAGGAAGGAAGGCTCGAACTGAGAGCAAAAAGAAGACCTGACTCATAAACCACCTACCCTCTCCCTTGCCCAGGACCCCAAAACCCCAAAACCCAGAGGTGACATCTGTAAACAACGAGGACTCCAAGCAAATGCCACTGACACCTGGAGTCCCAAGAAGACAGTGCCCCCAGGCTCCCTGGAAAAGCAGCCTTTCACTCCAGCTGCATAATGTCTCACAAAAGAAGTCCCAAGAGCCACACAGGCTAATGTTGAAACTGGCAAAAAATAAATGGAAGTCATAGAATTTAGAGACGGGGTGTCATTGAGCCCAATATCCCTGATTTTCGAGTAGAGGAAACCCCGTACACTGGTTTGTATGGTTGAACCGAAGCATTTACCACAGACCTTGGTGCAGGGGTAGAGCTAAATAAATATTTGTTCAGTAATGGATGGATGGGCATAGTGGTTGGAAATCACACAGAAAGGCAGTGACAGGGTCAGGATTAAAGGATTTAGGATCATCTCTACCTATGTTGATAGAAAAAATAACCTTAAGACTGATTGTCATCAGTTTTTTTTTTTCCAGGCACATTATTTCATTTAATCCTGACAACAAACACCATGAGATAGACTTTGTTATATCCATTTTAGATATGAGGAGACTTAGGCCCAGAGGTAGAAATATCTTGCCCATGGCCACATGCTCAGTGAATAGCAGAGATAGAATTTGGATCCAGGTTTGTCCACCTTATAGACACAGACACTCCAAGCCCAACGTAGGACTCAAACTCATGACCCTGAGATCAAGAATCACATGCTCCACCAACTGAGCCAGCCAGGGGCCCCCGCCCAACTTATAAACTCAAGCAACACTCCAGTCCAGCATGCACCCTCTTATCCAAGAATCACTGCAGGGGACATGCCCTTCCAGCCCCAGGGGACTTCTAGAGCATTCTCCATGGTCATCAGCACACACGGAACAGGGAGGTCTCCTCAGTTAATCCACAAATGGAACTCAAGAATTCAAACTTCTCTCAAATCCATGATCATATCAGACATTTAGGAAAATAGGCTGTTTTCTTTATGTTTTTCTAAAACACTCTCATTTGAGACACTTGGCAATATCCAATCAGCCCGAACAGGAGATGACACTAAGAGCCATCCATGAAATAATGGCCAAGCCAATGGCCCCGGTCAGGTCAGGGCTGTTGGGCCTCACTTCGCGGACCAAAGCAGCCCCTTCCCACCCGGTGTCACTCTTCTCAGGAACCAGTGCAGGTTTGCCCGACCGTAAAGTCTAAGCCATCCCCACCAACATGCCAGGTCTTTTGGAATGGAAGCAGCTCCTTACCGGATATCCCCATGAGCCATTCGCCGCCTGCATCTTGGAGTAGTAGCTGCTCCGGCTGGTGGTCCCATAGTTGTTGTAATTGTCGGCCAGGCCATCGTACATGGAACCTTGGGGGGCAAAGGCAGGGGGTTAGGACAGTGATGGCCATGCTGGTCACTCGCCTCTCCTCCCCGCAGCATCCGGGTCCACCGCGCCCCGTGGAGGAGACCAGGTCTGAGCTCTTGAAGGAGGAGGGTAGGAAATACATCATCCGCTCGCCACCTCTCTCTCTCTACCCCCTCCACAGCCAGGGCCAAGGAAGGGCGCACGCAGGCTGCTGCAGGGACAGCTCTGCAAATCTCGGCCGAGCCCTCCCTGGGCTGACGGAAGGACTCCCTGCTGCTTGGGCTAAGTTGACACCTACAAGTCAGGAGATGGCCTGGAGGGCCGTGGAGCACCGCCAGTCCACTCCAGGGAATCACGACTCCCCGGTCCACGAGGATAAGCTCCCCACTGGGGGACGGCTGGCAGGATCTCAGCATTCCAGGTCCAGAGCCCCGGGGTCAGAGCCACAGAGCAGGGAAGGCTGATTAGAGGCCAATTCAGGGTGAGCCTCTGGTTTCAAACCTCAGTCCGGCCCCCCGCTAGTGACGATGTGATCTTTTGTCCCTTCCTTCATCTCCTAGGTGCTCTAGATGGTGAAGGGGGGGTGGCCACCAACCTCAAAGGCCCCAGTGAGGATTAATTAATGTTTTCAGAGTGCTTGGAGACCCACAAATGACAGGCTCTGCAAGAGGACAGAGTGTCATTAGGGTTATTAGGAGCAAAATGGATTTGAATCCCAGAAATCCGAACTGGATTTTGGGCTCCTGGTGGGGCTACCTTCCCTTCTCCTCTTCACCAGATGGCAGGTGGACCCTAAAGAACAGTCCCAACCGGCAAAAGCTGGTCTGTTGGCTGTCTTACTGTCCTTGAAGCACGGCTGACGGGGACATGCCTACGACTTTGCTCATACCAGGCCCCTTGCCAGTCTGCCTTCCCTTCTCGGCCACGACATTCAGATCTCGCCCATCTTTCAAGGTCAAGTCCAAGATCTCATCCCTTTGGAGAAGCCTCTTCTGACCAGCCCTGCCCAAGGTGATCTCTCCTACCTCTAAACACATACTGTCCTGCTGTCTGTACCCGAGCCACATCCTGCCTGCTGTCCCATTCCCAACACTGGCTCTGCGTGAGGGGAATGCCATCGCTCTGCGGCCTGGACATCCGGAGCAAAGCTTGCCCCACACTCGTTAGTTAAATGATGAGCCCTCTGGGGGGAGGAGGGAAAGGAAAGTGGGATCCAGTGAGAGCCTCCTAAGGGGGATGCGCACTTCTTTTCTCTGAAGTGATGGTCAGACTCCAGCATCAGAAACCCTGTGTAGGGGGAAGGGCTTGACAGTGATCTTGCCCAGCCGAAGTAGCTCCTTCCCCACCCGCCACACCCGCTCAGATTCCCAAGCCTTTTGGAGGCAGTAGGAGGACTGGAGTATTTGGGCTAAGAGAAGGAACAGCAGAGGGGCAGCTCTGGAATGTGGCAGGTGTCTCTGCCTGGGGCCACTTCCTCTGGCCGAAGCCAGCCAGAGGCCACCCCGTAGCACATAGGAGGGGGCACTGCCCTGATTCCCACCCTGCCATCACGGAGGATCAACAGGCCATTAGGGTGATCGCCCGTGGCAGAGGTAACTTGCCCTGGGAGCCTAGAGGTGTTGACATTGGCTCTGACATTTGGGCAAGTCACCTGCTCTCCCTGGGCCTCAGCTTCTTCTTCTGTGAAATGAAGGGGTTGGCCTCTGTATACCCCAAAGGCCCAACACAGCCCCAGCATTCCATGGCTGTGTGATTATAGTAACTCATGCCCCATGGCATTCAGAGAAGCTTGCAAGGAAGATGGGGCGACATCAAAGGCTGCGCCGCCACCTCCTTGCTGCCCGCCTCGGGGGCCTCCCAGAGAGAGGTGTCTTGCGGGCCCAGGCCTGACTCCTGAGCCTCTGACTTCATCCAAGCTCCCCTACTGAGTGCAGGCAGCTTGTTCCTCTTCCTTTCTTGGGAAGCTGCCCCCCCTGGAAAGGCAGCCTCTGTCAGGAGGAGCCTGGAGGCAATCTCATGGGCTCAGACACCCAGAACCAGCTCATACCAGGGAAGGGACTGCAACCAGGACCCTAGACACGCACGGTCAGGTCCTGAGGCAGCTGACAGCCTGGTCTCATCTGACTTCCCTCCATCCAGCCTACTTCTATCATCTCTTCCAGGGTTTGACAGGCCAGAGTTCACTTGGCCGTTGCCCCAAGAGATATCCCTGCTCAGGTGTGGGTCAGCAGCTGCTTTCAGGTGGAAAATCTGGGGTGGTGACAGACAAAGGGTTCTATGGATCCCCAGCGAGGCTTTCTGCTAGGGGAGGCATCCCCAGGAGGCTCAGTGGAGGGCAGGCTCCCACGGGGCCTCCACTTCTTCTCAAAAGGCAACCTGTCAGCAGTGACATCACTCACCCTCTCAGTCATCAGATGAAGCATCTCCTCCCTCCATGCCCTGCACCTGCCTGCCTCCCTCTCACATAATTCTCTCCATGTGGGAGGTAGGGAGTTCTCTGTCATGGAGGCAGGGGTGAATAAGACCTCTGGAATGCCCTAGGCTTCCAAAAGCCGGTCTCTGTGTCCCAGTGGTGACTTTAGTGATGACAGGTGTGGGCTATAACACTCACTTCTGGTGGGGCCAAGGCCGCCAGGCCCTTCCCGGTGGCTCCTGAAGGCACTCCCTAAGATCCATCTGCAATCGGGGACCAGAGCACCTGACTCCCACCCTAAGATGCTTTGCTTCCTTCCTTGTGAGAACGAGGCTGCCATCACGCCAGCCAGTGCTGCTTTTCTGGCAGAAAGGCAGCTGCACTTGGGGCCCAAGGTTCTGAGGTAGAGGAGGAGTCCAGAGAAGTTGCCTACTTGAAGTCACACTTTGCGATGTGCCCGATGACCAAAGAGGTGCAGGTAGGAGGTGAGCTCTGTTAATAAGAGTGCTGCTCCCCTCTCCTGACCCTAGGGTGTCCGGCTGGTGCACGTGACCCTTGGAAAGTCAGGTTCGACAGCAAGAACACGGGGGCTCTCAGTGACAGTGATGGCAATGGCTCTGACAGTGTCCCCTTCCCCAGCTAGTCCCTCATTTCTAGGGAGCTTCTCCTGATCGACTCCACCCGGTCCCGTGGCCGCTGGCTGACTGCGCCCTCGGAACAGTGCTAGGACCTCATGACCGTGCCAGCGTCCATCATCACGTACCTCGGGCACCCACTGCAGCAAGCGCCGCGTCTCTTCCTTCCCTGGGACCTGGGGCACAGGGCATGGCTCTGGCTGGGATGTGGCCACACCTGGCCTGAGCAGGCCCTTTCTTTCAACCAGTTGTCCCTACCCACCCCTCATGGTGGAGGCGCTTTAGGAGCCTGGAGGCTCCATATCCCCCAAATCGCAGCCCAGGCCCAGAGCCTTTGAAGGCCACTCAACCAGGCTCTCTTCCCACCAAAAAACGTCCCTGGTCTGGTGGGGGTAATGGAGGCAGACAGAGGATCTGAGAGCAGCTCTAGGACAGGCACAGCCCCCTCCTTGAGGAGCACGCTTGGTATCAGGGGTGGTAAGGGGAGGAGATCCCAGCACCCAGCTCACCCCACAGAATCACCCCCACTCTTGTAGCTGAGCACCTGCATTCCCACTGTTTCTCTCCAGAAAGGTGCACAGGCTAGACTCAAAGGATGGTGGCCTCTCGGTGGAACCGGCCGCCAGCCCAGCTTGTGCATTGTCCCCGGGAGGCATCTGCCCACCCACAGAACCCCAAGGTCAAGGGCAAGTGTCCAGAGAAGGCACAGCTCTCTCCAGTGCACACTCAATTCCAGCTAGCTCGGTCCACACAGCTTGTCTCATCCGTGTCAGTGTTCCAGGGTGTAAAGCCATCTCCCCAGATCCACCACTCGGACCATCAGCGTCCCTGGATGCTGCTTCCCTTTGGTGCCCGAGACAATGATCTGATTCTCCCCTGTGTCATAGGGCCAACGCGAGCTTCCTCGCCTACCAAAGCTTTGAAAGGGAGGCAGCTTCTTTGTGAGCATACGCGGACGGCTCTCTCCGACCAGACCGGACGGCCAGACCTTTGCAGGGGGTGACTCATCCCCTTCCACCTCCAAGCTTTCAAATAGGTCACACCCACCGCACCTGAAACATTCTCTTCGTCTCGGTCAAACCCTCTCCCTGCATTCAAAACCTTGCACAAAAATCAGCTTCTTCTAGAGGCGAGACCCCACCCGGCCCTGGGCACTCCAAACCCTCCAGCGTAACCCTGTCAGCTTTCTGGTCAGCTGCTCTGCTCACTCCGTGCTGGCTGTGGCTTCCGTACTGTGTGCGCATGCACTTATGGGCCCTTCTCCCAAAAGCAGGGAGGCTGGGGACTCCCCGAAGCAAGGGATCTGCTTGCACTAGATCCCCACCCCACTCCTGAGCCCAGGACCGGGGTCCTGCCGGGACAAGGCGCTCCTGACATCCGCCTGCCTGACCAACAGGCTGCAACAGGGCCGAGGTCCCCCGCAGTGCGTGTCCCCCCGCATCCCCCAGCGCCCTCTCCCTGGCTCCTCGGGAGGCCTGGCCACGGGGCATCTGCACCGCCTGTGCCTCCACGGCCTGATCTGTGCCCCCCAGGGCCCGTGTCTCTCTGGCTTCTATGCTGAGAACCCATGAGGGCCACAGGTTGCGAGGAGGAGCCTTCTGGAAGGACAGCTCCAGGCGGCTCGGGGAGCGGTGCGCAGGGCAGGGAGCGACACAATCTATCTCCGATGATCACCACCACAGCACACTTGGGAGGTGACCTAACCCCATGTCGCACAGTTGCAGAAGCCGGAGGGGGCCGTGCCTCGGCCGCCGTCACACAGCAGCCGGCAATCCGCGCAGGCAGCGCTCAGCGTCCGGGCCGCAGGCTGGACTCCTGCCCCAGCACCACTGCGAGGCGGCGGAGAGCGTGTGCGTCCGTGCAGGGGCGCGGGTGTGCATGTGCCCGTGGGAGCCTCGGGAGGATACCTAACGTTCTCGCACCTTGTTTTGTCCAAAGATCACACACCCTCTAGGGGTCGCAGCCCACGACAGAAGCAGTTCCCCGAGTTCTAGACCTGGAGGGATTGGCTTATTGGTATTTACAGTTTGGTGCGTGGGGAGAAATATTTGTTGGTTTCTTTTTCTTTTTCTTCTTCTTCTTCTTCTTTTTTTTTTTCCAACCTCTGCCAATGAGCTTTATTTAGCAAAGGAGCGGGATCCAGGGAAACAAACTCTGCTGTGAAACATTCTGGAATACCTGGCATTTTTGTATGCGTTGTAACAGGCAAACGGAAATTCTGGTAAAACCTTCACTTCAAGCCAAGGTACATTGTAAAGAAACAGGAATTGGTTCATTTGAAGTTTAATTAGGGCGTTTTGTTCCTGGAACAAGGTAAAGCGAAGACACCCTTTACTCTCTCCCGTGCCAGATTCGGGCCCCAGAAACCCACCCCAGAAGTCGACATCTGGAAGGGACAGCTGTCAAGAGAATAGACTGAGCTGATCCTCACTCCGGCAGAGGTTTATGCAGCCACACAGCCGACTGCAAATACAGAAAAGCCAACAAAGGCGGGTCCGAGGCGGGGGCCTTCCCCTGTGGGGGCCGGGCCACCAAGCCAGCACAAGCCTGCCCCCTAGGAAGGCCTTGACTAGTCACTGCCCCGTGAGGGACAGATGCAGCCTGACGCACCAGGGGACAGGCACCTTCCCTAGCCCCAGGGGGGCCCAACCCTATCTCCGACCAGGGAGAAATACAGGTTTGGCCATTTTACATAAGAAATGGTAGTTATGAGAAGGTTGAAAGTAAAAAAAAAAACAAAAACAAAAACAAAAAACACATCACAGCTGTCTACGCAGGTAGTGAGACAAACAAGGACAAGGACGCTGCTAGCGTCGGGATTTCCCTGGAATGAGAAGTGATCCGAGAAAGAAAGGCCGTGTCCTTAGACTCCGCGCGTGATGTGTATTCACGGTGACGGCAGCGTTCAAGTTGGACCAAATGAGATTCGGGATAAGCGTTAGGAAGAGATTCCAAGTGAAGTTCTACAGAACCTGAGGGTGGGAAAGTATTCCTTTTGGGCTGCCTAACGGGTGCTCCTGGTCCCCAGCAGGGTGGCTCATGGGGAGCACCTGTGGGGACCTCCCCGCTCAGGCAGGCCGAGTTTCCCCAGCCAAGATCTCAGGCTGGGCAGCCCCAGCCCCTGGGTTTCCTCCTGCTTCCACACAGTGGGAGAAGGCACCCTGACGCACGCACATGAGGACACCCTTGATGCACAGGAGAGCAATACTTAGCAGCCGGTTCAGAAAAAGACCCAGAAGGTCAGGCAGGTTGAGAGGCACCTCTTCCCGCAGGGTGTCCCGACCCCGGAGCCCCCCCTCCACGGGGATGTCCTGACCAGGGCCAGGCATCTATCTCCTCTGCTGTGTTTTGGGGAAGGCATGGGTGGAAATAGGTACTGGGTGTCAGGCTCCTTCTGTGGAGCTCCTCTCCCAACCCCTGGTGACTCAATTCCCCCTCACCAATAAGACAGAAGAAAACCCTAGCGGGGTAGACCCTGGAGAAAAGCTGGATCTATGGCTGGGACCACCAGTCGCTGATTCCTGACTGTCCTTTGTGGGGTACAAGGCGTGGTGGCTACCTGCCGGGCAGCCTGTGAGGTGTGGCCAGCCTTCTTTGGGGCGGATGTTCTTAACCAGAGGAGCCCTGGTAGGATTCAGGGGCCCCCAGAGAACCAGATACCCTCGAGAATGGGACTCTTCTCTCTTGGAGAATTCCGGTGAGTCCAGGAGGGGTTAAGGAAATGAGGTGGGCCTGGTCCTTCCACAACGGCCAGCTCGCCCCTCCCAGCAGCCAGAGCAGGTGCATGAGATAGAAACCAACACAAAAAGAGACAGCAGAGTTGGGAGGGATGGCCACTGAGCAAATAGGGAATGCTTGGGCGGTTCTGATGAAGAGAAGGGGGAATCTGATGAAAACAAAGCCAGATAAACCAGAAACACCAGCTCCAAGTGACCTAACCGCCTCTTCCACCTAGGACGCCTCTGGGGAAACTGCCCCTGTGGGAACCTGGCCAGAGCCGAGGGCAGAGGGGACACACCTACAGGGTCAGTCCTTGAAGAGGCCTGTTTCCGGAGAGGTACACATTCGCCAGGGAGGTCACCCCTCACCTGGCTGAAGCCCCCTGGAGGACCCCGGGACGGAGAGAAGGAGATCCCATCAGAGGGATGTTACCCACGAAGGGCAGAGCCAGAAAGGGCACCGCATGATGACGGACACTCACCGCATCCCCACTGGTGGGAAGAAAAAGGGGTATTCGGGGCACCCGGGATTTTTGAGATTTTTCTGGAGCTGTGAGCCTGCAGCTCAGGCCAGGGATGACATGGGAGCGGGAGGGGGACAGGTAAGTCTTGCGCAGAGATGAGAGTAGGTTGTCTTGAGCTGTGACTGGGCTGTGGCCAGAAATGGGGACACCTTTTTTTTTTTTTTAATGATCTCAAACCTACTTCCAAAAAAGGATAGTGAGCAGCTACCAAAGCACTAAATAAAAGAGGCGGCAAATGCCCTGGAGTCTGTGCGACCTTGAGGAGAAGTCTGGCAAGAGGGGGACCAGGAGCCCAGGCCAGGGCGAAGGGCACACACAGCAGCAAAGAGCTTTTAAGTTCAGGGTCCAGGGAAGCGCTCAACCAGCCATTCTCCCTCCCTCAGCTCAACACAGGGGTCGCTCAGGAGTGAGGGGGAGAGGGAGAGAGGCCAGGCCCAGGAGGAAATGTGAGCTGAAAAGGGTGTGGCGGGAGGTGCCAGGGCTCCCTGCCTCCTTCCTCTTAGCCACCCCCGCTGCTCCCCTTACCCTCTCTTAGGGGCCCGACTCCCTAAATAACTCTTGGTGGGTGTACTGGTTTGGGCTGTAGAATCTTTCATCAGTATTTACTAAATTTAACTAAACACACAAATAAACAGAACGTTGGCTAGTTGGCGTGTAATTCTTCCTGGGAAGCCTCTGTATTAAGGTTCGTGGTCTAAAAATTCTCCACAAATGTCCCTGTCAGATGCCGCCCCTTCCTCCTGGAGTTTCAAGGATGCTTTCTCCGAGCCCCCCCCCCCCCTTGGGGGACCTCAGCACCAGCGGGGGGCATGGGGCTGGGCACCTAAACTGGGCAAGTGCTCGCGGTGAGCGCTCAGCCCCGGTGCCTCCTGGCATTTGCAGCCTTGCCAACCCGCTGACGCTTGCTCCTTCCCGCTCAAGCCAAGTGAGGGGTATGGGGGAGGAGGGCGCTTCTGCGGTGGCCACTGAGGACAGAGGCACCTGCAGGCGCCCTTGCCGGGCCTGCGGGGCGGGGGGCGCACGGCCCGGGGGCGTCCTGGGTCTGCAGCCTCTGTGCGCCCTGGGCCTCCCGCACCTGGAGCCTGCGGGCCTGGGCACCCCAGGTCGGGGCTCGGGGTGAGGGGCCGCACTGGGGAGCCCCGGCGAGCCCAGGGGCGGGGTGGGCAGGGCGGTGGTCCTGGGGCAGGTGGGTCGGCGCGCTCTGGGCTCTGAGCCGGTGCACCTGCGGCCGCCCTCAGTCCCGGGCCACCCTCCCGCGCCCCTGCGCCCCCGCCCGCAGCCCGGGAGGCGCCGCCTGGGTCCCGCCGCCGGCCCAGGGGAGGCCGGGGCGCAGGGGCGCGCGGGGGCGCAAGGGCGCAGGGGCGCGCGGGGGCTCAGGGGCGCGCGGGGGCGCAAGGGCGCAGGGGCGCGCGGGGGCTCAGGGGCGCAGGGGCGCAGGGGCGCAGGGGCGCAGAGCCCTTACCTCGGTTGGAGTGGCTCAGGGTGGACGACTGCGAGGACTTGGACTTCTGCCGCTTGACGGTCATCATCACCTGCTCCTGCACGCGCTGGCGGCCCGACGTGCCCGTCTTCATCTTCTGGTCCGACGGCAGGGCCAGCGTGGAGTTGTCCTGGTCGGGGAAGCACTCGTAGGCCAGGGCGGTCTTGAGCGGCGAGGGGTTCATGGCTGCGGCTGCGTCGGCGGCTCCCCAGGCCCATAGAGCGAGCGGTGCGCTCCTGCCTGGCCGCGGGTCCCCGCGCTGCGCTCCACTGGCGGGCCCGCCCTCCGTCCGACTGGATATACCGCCCCCCGCCCTGCGCCACCCACCGCCGCGCGCGCCGCGGTGCTCCTGGGGGCAGGGCCCAGGCCCTGCGCCCTCGGCTCCCCTCTCCCGCCGCCCTCCCCCGTGACGTGCAGGGGCGAGGCCAGGAGACGCCCCTCCGTCCTGTCCCTGCTCGCTCAGGGACAAAGTATGCGCTCGGCTGGGGAACCCAGGGAGACGTCTCTCTCTCTCTCTCTCTCTCTCTCTCTCTCTCTCTCTCTCTCTCGAGGAACAGGCCGGTCTGGAGCAGGCCCCAGGGGAGAGCTGGCGGCCACCTGCTGCCCTGGGTCGTGGCGAGACCAGCCCCGTGCTGGGGCTCCCAGGCCAAGCGCTGAAGCACAGCCCCTGTCCCAAGGCGCGCTCAACCCTACGGGGACAACCGCCCTACTCTGAGGCGGCTTCCTCCCCAGGGGGCTGGGGTGGGGGCATGAAGCCTCAAGGACCCGACTGGAGACACAAAGGAACAGTACACTTGCCGTGTCCGGGCACGCCGGAGGAAAGGCCGTGTGAACAGTGTGTCCTCTGAGACTCCACACGTCGGGCGTAAAATGGGGCTGGCACACATTAGGGGCTCGGTAAAAATATTGTTGAATGGGTGAATGAGCAGGAAAGCTAGCCGACCTAAAGTCTAACTTGTATCCTCCTCAGATCCTTCCCGGCAGCCTGGAAGGCTGCCTGCCCCATAAAGCTGCCCCACTCTGGACTAGCTATTCCGGGACTTGTGGGTGCATTCTCCTAGACACGCAAACCCCTGGGGACACATGTATAGTGATGTACGTGGAGTACGGTCCCAGGCACAAGGCTAGCCGAGGGTTTTAAAAGAGGCTGAGGATTCTTAAAAACTGTGTTGATGGAAATCTTTCTAAATGGCATCACGCCCTGCCTTCCCTCCTTAAGCAGAGGATGGTCACATAAGTCATGCTCTTCTTGATGACTCAGGATTCCTATTCCGGACATCCTTTTTGAACCGCGGAGTGTGCCATCCCGTCAGCTCCTCACTCTTGGGGAGTCCTGCAGCTGTGCTACACGACCACAGCTGCCTCTTCAGCTGCCCTTTGTATTTCACGCTCCCAGCTCGCTTAGTCCATTTTTCGTTCGCCCTTCTGATCTGCAGAGGAAGGGGCCATCAGTCTATGCTAGTTGGGAATTTTATGACAAAGGATTGCAAAACCTGAGCGACAGTCTCAGGGACCTCGTGAAGGTCACTTGCCCATTCCCCGAGAAGTGGATGTTATATGGAGGGAGCCCCTGCTTTTCCCCATCATGCATGGGGTAGCCATGCGGGGAGCAGAGTATTGTAAAGCAGATCGTAGTTTCCAAGAGAAATAGTTTTATAATCGAGGGTTGTCTTCCTAAGAGCTTAGCATCAAATAAATCAGAGATGTGACCAACAACATGCCGTGGGTACAGAAGTCCAACACCCATAGACCTCTATCATCGCTCGAAATTTTAAGATCCTGCTTCCAGCCATGGGCCGTCAGTGCTGGGTGGATCCTTGGACATCATCCAGCCCAGCCTCCCAATTTTTCCGATGAGGAGAGGAGACAGCTTGCCCCAGTGTCACCCAGTTAATATGAGGCAAAGCCTTCATTCCATTCAGGCCTGGTGACTCCTGGGTCACTGTTCTTCCCTCCATACTATCTGACCTCCCTTATAAAAGTCCTATAAAATGGGCATTAAAGTACAGCGCTCACTGATTATATAAAGGCCCGAGTGTACTATAAAGTATACATAACAGCACATAAAAATACAACTGCATTGTATCACACATTTGCCCTATCTAAAACCTAATATGCTAGCTACAATAAATGTTAATTACGTCTTTATATAATGATAATTTTGCTACCTCAAGCATGCGGAAGAGCCCTGACGAAGGTGACTGCACAGCCTCTACTGCTATGAAAGGCCGTACTGTAGCCCCTGGAAGCTGAAACTGATCATCTTTAAAATTGTTCCCAGATACGAAGTTCAGTTTCTCGGTTATTTCGACCTTGACATTCCTTTGATACATTGACAGCAATATCCAACATTTGCTATGCTCCTTCAAGCAGTCAGCCTACAAACCAGGTACGGTTCTGGGCCCTTTGCATGGACCATCTCATCCGAATCCTTACAGTGATCCTACAAGGTGAGTAGCAGTGTCAAGGCCATCATCTTTCTTTTTCAGATGAGGAAACAGGCTCAGTGGGGCCACTGAGCTGGTGAGTGGCAGAGACAGGGCCAAACACAGGCACCCTGGATCCAGAGTCTGGGCACCCCGTGGTAGTGCCGGGCCGCCTCCTTGTGATTTCCCGGTGACAAGCAGAAGGCTCAAAAGCCTTCCATGGATCAATCTTTTACCAGGATCTGTTTCTATCACGTGGCATGAAAGTCCGGCGACCCGTGTACCGGTTCCAGTTGTGTCACTAACTACCTTCATGATGCCAGACCAGTCCCTGCCTCTGGCCTGGCACCAGATCTGTAAGGAGTGGAGGTAGATTTGATAGCTCACCAAATCCACCCTCGCCCTAACACCCCGGGATCTGGATATCCCCCATGGGGCTACGTAAGACAGGGGAATCTTGAAGCACCTCCTCTGGACGACATTTTCTTTGTCTCTCCTACCCCACATCAGAGTGAAGGGGAGCCTGGCAGTGGACTGAGGGAGTGCTAATATCTGCAGAGCCAGTAGCAAGTCTGCTTGGCCTATATTATTTGATGTCATCCTCCCAATAACCCCTGAGGAGGTATTATGCTGCAGAACTGGAAACACAGAAAGGTTAAGTCAATGGTGAAGCCTTGATTTGGACCAAGGTCAGACTTCCCACCTGGGAGAAGGGAAGGAAGAGGGTCGGCCACACGTTCTAGCCCAAGATGAGCGAGTATATTCAGGCTGGACGGATTGGTTTGGGGCTCAGTGCATGGCTTTGAGCCAGCAGGCCGGAGCTTTTTCCATCACCTCTCTCTTCTGCCTGCCTGAGCCCCACCCCATGTGAGGCCCTGCCTCAGAGACAGGACTGGGACGAGGGTAACACTCCTAAGAGGGAAGGATTAGATGTCAGTGAGACTCTGCCCCATGAGCTGAGCTCTGAAATGCTTTCAGGCAAGTCGCAGAACAGATTTTTAGATGGCTACAAAACTCTAAGGGGTATGAGTTCATCTGAGTTAGTGCATGTGGAGCGTGTGGGAAAAGCCTCTTGAATTAATTTCGGTTTGATTCTGAAACAAGATGAGGAAATTATCATCCTCAAAGGTGTTAGCATGAATGAGCATTGAATGGTGCTCTAATTCTCTCTGCTGCCTTCCCGCCAGCAATACCTGTGACCCAGATTTCACTTTCAACACCCAGGGCTTGCCGTGCTCTTGGAAGTCAAACACCCTGTGACCTGAAGTTTCATTCATTAAGAAACGGAATACGGATTTACTTATTCAACAAGTATTTATTGATTGATTGATAAGTAGGCTCCAGGCCCAGCATGGAGCCCAGTGTGGGGCTTGAACTCACAACTCTTGAGATCCAGCCCCAAGCTGAGATCAAGAGTCGGACGCTTAGCCGGATGAGCCACTTAGGCATCCCTCAACAGGTATTTGTTGAACATCTACGACGTGACAGGCCCAGTCCTCAGCACTGGGGGTACGGTGTGAAGGAGGCAAAGTGCTGCCTCAATAGAACTTACACTCTAGAGATGGGAAGAGGAGGGGCAGCTGGGCCAGTGGGGAGGCCCGGCCCGGATGAAGGCTGAGAGGAGGCCTCTGGTGCTCCTACTGCTTCTCAGTGATTGGGCCGAAGCTTCTCCTTGCTCAGTTTCCAGCCCCCCAGGTGACTGGTCTCTGCCCCCCTCTACCCCAGCCTGATGCAGATACCCCTAGGGAATTGGAAGAGTTAACCCTCCTTTATGTACCTCTAGGCTTGCCATCATGGCCCCCCGTCTTACCTAGCCCTGTTCTTCTGCAACTGACCCCCTGTTCCAGGCACCTTCGGACTTCATAAACAGAGACGGTGGCCAAGGGGCCCGCTCCCTGCTGTCCAGCCGTTCCTGGCTGAGTTCCTTTGGTCATCGAGCAGGCTCCTCGGTGGCTTCCTGACTCAGGCACCACCTCCCCCCATGAACCACACTGCTGCGTCCCCAATCTTGAAACCGTCTCCCTTATCCTTTTGTTTCCCTACCAGCCCTCCACCGACCGGCCCCACACAGATGCCGGCCTCTGCCTTTGCACACGTGCTACTTCCCCTGCGTGGAGCACTGACAGTTGCTTCCGGGTGTGCTGAGTGCCTAAATGGGCTGTGCACCATGCCAGTCCCTGGGAATACAACCAGGGGAAAAAAAAAAATACGGGTCCTGCTCTCTCTGGGCTTACATTCTAAGGGGGCAAAGAGTAAGCTTGTAAATAAGCTGGCAAAATGATTACAAGTGATATTAGGTGTTGTGAAGGACACGAATGAGAGGCTGGTGCAGAATATAGAGGGGTACTTAGGTGGAGCCCCAAAGCATGAGAGGAGCACCCATGTCAGGAGTGGGGGGACGGAGCTCCAGGCAGAGGGAAGAGTGGGTGTGGGCCTGGGCCTGGCATGTTCTCCGGTCCAGCAGACCAGTGTGGCCCCATAAGGGGAGGGAGAGGAGGTGCTCATAAGATGGACACGGAGGCAGGTGGGCTGTCCCGTCCTGTACAGCTTGCTGGGATGATGGAAACGTTCCGTATCTGCGCAGGCTATTGAAGCCTGTTACAATGAAATGAAATAAGAAATTCAGTTCTCCGCTGAAACACCAGCCATGTGTCAAATGCTTGATAGCCGCGTGTCCCTAGCGGCCCCTGTATGGGACAGCACAGGATCGTGCTGGACCTTCCAGTCCTCCGTCTGGGTTTGAATTTCACTCTGTGAGGCCTTCGAGAAGCCTTAAACAAGGAGGGCACCAGACACTCCCACCTCCTGCCTCCCTGCTGCTTGTCAACATGTCAATCCTCTCTAATCTCACTGAGGAT